TATATATACTGTATACATACATTGATCTGGCATTCTTTAGTATATCCAATTCAATTAATAAAATGTATTCATTTCATTAAAAAATAACTATAGCCTACACACAATTAAAAACAAAGAAAATACACAAATCAAAAATCTAAATAAAATGAAAGGCAGCCGAAGGAGAATAAATTTTATAATGTCTGCCCCTTGTATCCCCACAATATGTTCAAACAAAATGTAATTTACAAAACAATACAAAAAATATTTATAATGTTATCCTCAAGATTATTCCATAAATTAATTCCCTGGACTGAGGTACTGTGTTCCCTCAAACTGGTCCTAACTTTAAGTTTCACAAACATCTCTCTCCCYGTCAGATTGTAACAACTCTCTCTTTTAACAAACTGTAATTGGATGTTTGAAGGTAATATGATTTATGGACCCCGTACACAACTGACTAAATGTTTTTCTTATAAACTGTATTTGTTTTGTGCATTCAGACCATTTTCAACATGTTTCACTTGGTGGGTGCTGCTCGATCAGGGAAGGTTGCTGTGAACGTGTTCTGAGTGGCCTGAAAACCTCTGGTTTCATGGTAAGTCTTCATCACAAGGATTGTGTGTCCTGGTGTAAGCTGGTACACACACTGAACTCCTGTCAGAGCTCCCAGGTCTTCATCCACCAGTGGAATCAGCAAAGACATTTCTGATTACACCCAATGAATTAAGAAAAGAAGCACGTTCATTTCATTGATCAGTGACCCACATTTCAACACAAACCTGCTCAGTCGTGTGTAACTGGAAATTCATGAATGACGTATCATCAGAAAGCTTTTGTTGTCACTTTTAGGTGAAACTATGCTGTAATGTTCATAGTTTTACCACAGTGACTGTATTAATTTGGGTTTCCTTTTTTTTATTTTGATACACCTTGTATTGGAAGGAAGATGTTAGAGTTAGAGGACATGGTTAAATACAGAGGACTCACTGTGAAAATGTCTCTGAGGACTGTCTTCTTGTGAACTCAAACATCCTGTTGAATCTCTGCACTGCAGTGAGACGTTTTGAGGTCTTCTGTCTTCTGTCTCAGCAGATGATCGGTGAGTCAGAACAGCTGAGGTGATTAAAAATGAATTTCAGGTGAATCATGGAGCTGAGGAGACTCACTGTTGACAGAGAGAAGGTAGAAACAGAGCTGCTTCATGGAAGAAGAACCTCAGCTTAGCCTGTTAGCTTTAGCACCGACCCTATATTGCCTTATATGTATTAGCTAGGCGCTAGCGCAGCAAACTAACAAGCTAACCTGTTGTCCTCCATCCATATTTTCAGTTCCAGGCTGAGTCATTTCTACCT